CGCCTCCACGGTGGGGATCACGGGCCGCTGGGTGGGAGGGCTCATCAGGGTCTGCAAACATCTTCCCAGTGAAGGCCAGCAGGGGTTGAAGTCTCGCTAAGCAATCAGAGATTGGCACTCGCTTCAGCTGTAGAGAGGTGTGGCTGTCACCCAGGGGGGTGGGCTCAGCCCTGGGCCTGGAAGCTTTGAGCGTCTTCAGGGATCTGCTTCCTGGGCATCAGTGGTGTTTCTTTGAAGGCAGTTTAAGTCTTTCACCTCATTCATTGGACCTGGGCAGGGCTCGGGTTCCCCTTCTGTTAATGTCAGCATCCTCAGTTCCTTGCTGGCCTCCTCAGTCCCTTCGCCTGCAGAGCTCACCTGCCAGGGGTCCCATGGCTGCCTCTTCTCCTTCTCAGTTGCTCTTCTTGATGGGCCCAAGCTCTGAGCAACCCACACGAGTCAACATGGGTCTCCATGATCTCTCCTTGGGACTGGCAGGGTCCTAAGAGCCACGTGTCCCTCAGGGGACATTTGGGGAGGTGGTGCCAATACTGCTAGAAGTCCTCACCCTGGGCTTGCAGTCCTGAGACTTGGCATTAACCAGAGTGGGTCCCTGCTGGCCACACCAGTCATTTCTCCAAGGGAAAAATAGGACAAGAACAGTCATTTCCATTCATCAGGTTCATTATGATTAATAAACAGCAAGATAACAATAAGGACAACTGGTATACCTTCAGATCCCAGGCACTTGGGGGAGGGGGCAGGCCATTTCTCACCTCCCTGAGAATTCTGTGTTAATCATCACTGTGAGGCAAAAGTATGGCCTCTTCCTGGTCATAGCCTCACATAAACTTCCTGTTCCTTCCCTCTCCTAACCCCGTGTTAAACCTCCACATTAAATGCTTAGATTTGCTAGCCAATAAATGAGACATTCTGAGGTCACTCGAAGGTGAGAAATGGTTAAGAAGTAGACCGAGCCAGGCGTGGTGGCACACACCTGTAATCTCAGTGACTCGGGGGGCTGAGGTAGGATGGTCACAGGTTCAAAGCCAGCCTCAGCAACTTAGAGAGGCTCTGACTCAAAAATATAAAATAAAACTGGGGCCTGGGGTTGTAGCTCAGTGGTAGAGCGCTTGCCTAGCTTGTGTGAGGCACTGGGTTCGATCCTCAGCACCAAATATAAATAAATAAATAAATAGATAAATAAAGGACCATTGATAACTATATTAAAAAATAAAATAAAACAGGCTGGGATGGGGCTCGGTGGATACATGCCCCGGGATTCAACCCCATGAGCCAGAGATGGGAAGAGATGTTGAGCGGCCTGGTTCCGGTCACAGGCAGGATGAGGTCATCATCGGATGCACTTGGACTTCAGGGAAATGCTGACACAGCCCAGGGTGAGGGGCTTGTTGTCCTCCTCTCCTCATTTCTCCTGCCTCATTCCAGCAGGAGCTTGGCAGCCTTGGCCTTCTGAGAGGCGTTCTGGGAACAAAGGTGTCCTTGGCTGGATGTCAGGTCTAGATGCTGACCGTCCAGCAGGTCACAGCAGCTGCCTGTGTCTACGGCGTGGAAACCAGAGCAGAGTCTTGGAGAGAGAAGTCACTGTATAGCCCAGTGACTGGAAGACAAGCTCTGATTTGGGGGGCAGAAAGACTCTCCTCCACCAGGCAGGCTCACAGAATTGACAGAGTGGTGCAAGGAAAGGGGCGGGAGCTGGGGGCAGAGACAAATCACAGGCCCGAGACTGAGTCTTGGCCCCCGGGTCTCTCCCTGCCCAGAGACGCGGGCTGGCTCTGCACAAATCTAGATGAGATTGAACCCTTCTGCTTCTCCAGGACTTGGGGGAGTTTTTTGTTTTGTTTTCTTGGTACCAGGGATTGAACCAGGGGCCTTAATCACCAAGCAACATCCCTGGCCCTTTTTTATATTTTATTTAGAGTCAGGGTCTCTCTGAGTTGTTTAGGGCCTCGCTAAGTTGCTGAGGCTGGCTTTGAACTCACGATCTTGAGGAGAATTTTTGTTCTGACTGTATGGTCTTGTGATTCTTCTTCTTCTCTGGAGTTGTGTAAAGTTGTTTTAGATATTGGAAGAATCTCCTCTCTGAGCAGGGAACTATATGCTGAATCTAGAGGGCAGGGCCTAACCTGGGGTATGGGTCATACCTGGGGGTCTCCCATTCTATCTCTGGAAACTGCCTCATCTTGGACCATTGTAACTGGTCAGGCCCTTCCAATCCCAGGTTCCCCAGTTATCATCCAGATAAATGAGATAATGGGTGGAGAGTCCTAACTGACATTAGTGTCGATGGCACTGACTTTGGACTTTTCAGATTGATGAGGTACATTTAAACAAATCTCTTATTTCAGAGATTGGCAATGGACCCTCGCTGTAAAGGGATGCCGCTGTCTAGTTTTATACTGAAGCCTATGCAGCGGGTAACAAGATACCCACTGATCATTAAAAATGTAAGTACCCGTCTGACCTTTTCAAACCGAGGAATACCTTCTCAGCATCGGAGAGCACTGGGGTCTTTAGCAGTTTCCCCAGCCAACACACCTGATGGTTGTGCAGAATCCATGTGCCAGCAAGGCGTTGGATCCATCTGCTTGGTAGCTCAGAGAAAAGAAGTTGGTTTAGCATGAAAAGAACTCATGACATGCAGCCTTCACATGTGCTACCAAGTGGCTTTTACCTTCTAAGCCAGAACACGAGAGCTCAGTTCTTGGTTCTCTTCCTAATGTGGGGCTCAGTGCCTCTGTGCTTTGATTTTCCTAGCAGGAAAGAAGGAAACACGATTCCTGTCACCCATCTGCAGAAGGCCACCATGAGATACTCTGTGTTGATGTTTCTCTTGTCACTTCAAGAAAGCCAGTACCATAATAACAGAACAAAATCGAGGATGCAGTGTCCCCATGTGTAAAATGAGTGGACAGACAAAGGCATCTCTGAGCCTATGATTCTACAACCACAAGAAGTGTATCTCCTGCAGAGAGGTTTTAGGTCTGGTTCTTTTTAGCGGAGAATGATATCTAGAAACCCAGATCTGGGCACTGGTGTGCTCATCACGGCTGGGTTGACATTGTCTTTGGGCCTTTCAGGACAGAATTGGGAAATATATGTATGTATAATTGTACATAGATATTTGCATATACATATATTAATTTCCAAATTAGTTTATCTATGTATATTAAAACCCACAAATTCACAGTTACCCCCTACTCTAATCCAATACCACAGGATTTATTCCAGTGTTCCCCTTTCTATATTTGTAACTCCCTACTCTATGAGATACCTGGCTTTCAGGGTTCTCAACAGGTTGTATATTTGCTCAACCTCCACATACTTAACAAATCTCCCTCCCATATACGCCGTCTCCGCAGTCCAGCCCTATCTCAGCCCCACAAAACACACTGCAGGCACTTTGGCTGAGTTAAATAGTTTTGAAAGCTTCTTTCAAACTATTGTTTCCTTCTTCCCAATTCCACAGTCACTATTTAGTTAGTTCAGTACTTCTCTTTATTTCCCTCCGTGTGTAATTGCAAATCAAAGTTGGAAATATCCTTTTAAAACAGGTGTTCTAGATCTAACCAATGGGGAGGAAACACAAAAGCAAGAAAAGAACTGAGAGGCATAAATATAAAAAAGGGAAAAACCCACAAACTGTCATTTTCAGAAACAAGCTAGCTGCCCCCCAGAGCATCTAGGAGAATGAACTGGAAGCTGACCGAACTCAAAGAATTGAAGAAGGCAGCAAGGCCTCAGGTGCACACGAGAGACCTTCCACGTGAAAGTACTAAGGCTGGATGTTTGGGGTGGAGGGGTTCTGAGCACGGCACCCACCACAGACCTTAGCCATGGCAACCTAAAGCAAAACTTTTATTCTGGCAAAATAGGTCCAAACCATAAGTCTGTACTATGAAAATATTTTAGAAGCCAGAGGACAATTTCTGTTTTACATTATTAGCAGAGAATGAGATCCAGAAAAAGCTGTTGAGTGAAAAAAACCTCATCGAGGTGCCCCACAGTATGATCCATTTTGCAAAAGGGGGAGACAGGCTGAGGATACAGTGCAGTGGCAGAGCACTTCCCAGCAGGCGGGAGGTCCTGGAGTCCATCCCCAGAACAGTTAAGGGAAGGCCGGGGAGGAGGACTTTACATGTGATTATTAAACACAGTCACCTGTTGCTTAAAGACGGGTACATTCTGACAAATGTGTTGTAGTTGAATCTGTCACTATCCTCACATCAGAGTGTTTACCCAAACTAAGGCAGTGATGTCATTAGGCAATACAATGTTATGGGACAGAATCCATATGAAATCCATCGTTGGCCGAGGCATCCTGATGAGGCGTGTGACTGTACCAGAGCGTCCCGAGACCCTGAAGGAATGTCTTCAGGCCTGGCGGTGGTTTCCTCTGTAGGAGGACAGGCAAGGCCGCGTTCACTCCTGTTCTATATACCCCCGTATTGTTTGCTCTTGCACAACAGGACTGTCAATCTACTATTTGCACAAACATTTTTTTCTTAAAAATTTCTGTTAGAAAATATAATGAACAAAGAAAGGCTAAGATAAATGACAGATGTATAAACTGTGTAAATATAAGTTTAACTATATATAACTAGGTACTGAAATATGAACAGGTATCTGTATGTCACATACTCTTCTAACTAAAAAAAAAAAACTTCAGTAGAAAAAGAGGTAAAACACACCTGGAAACTGCTGAGGTGTGGTGTAAAGTGGTGGTGAAGAGATGCTACAAGTTTTGAGCCAGGATGCCTGGGTACGAATCTTGGTGCCAACTCAGTGCACCCTTAGGTGAGTTACTTAACTTCTCTGGGCCTTGGTCTCCTTGGGTGTAAAATAGACACTAATAGTACTGTCTGCTTAGTGCTGTGAGAATTAATGGAGTAAACACCTGTAAAGTGCCTGGATCATTATTTACTAGTATATAAATGTTAGCTTTGTCATTTAGTACACTTATGTTTATTTAGTACACTTATGTATTAAGCATGCAAAAAGTTCACAGTCACAGATGATAAAGGAAATGCATAACAAAACCAGGAAATACCTTGTTTTGGGCTTGCCAAATGGGCACATGTTGGAAAGATTGTAGGTCTCCAGGGTGGGCAAGGATGCTGGTGGAAGGTAAATGGCTACAGCCTTTTGAATGGTAATGTGTAGACTAATCTGTCCTCTCCCCTCCCCTCCCCTCTCCTCTACTCTTCTTTCCTTTCTTTCTTTCTTTCAATTGAAACCAGGCCCTTGTACATGCTAGGCAAGTTCTCCACCTCTGAGTTATACCCCAGTCTGTTTTAAAATGTTATTTGGGGACAGGGTCTTGCTAAGTTGCCCAGGCTGATCTTAAACTTGTGATCCTCCTGCCTAAGCTTTCCAAGTGGCTGGGATTATAGGTGGGTGCCACCTTGCCCAGCTACACCTCCTCTCTCTCTCTCTCTCTCTCTCTCTCTCTCTCTCTTTAGTGGTGCTAGGGACTGAACCCAGGGCCTTGTGTATGTAAGACAAGCACTCTACCAACTGAGCTCTATCCCCAGCCCCTACACTTTCTCTTTAAATCATCAAATCCACCTCTAGGAATTTATTTTAAGGAAATAGTTAAAGAAATATTGAAAAATTGGAAACAACATAGAGTTTTTTGAGTGGAGAACTACTTGAAAATATTGTGAGTCTGTCTTATGATGACATACTTTACAATCCTTCAAAGTGGTAGTATAGATCCATATGAAACAGATATAAAGTGATATGCTATAAGCCGTGTACAAAATGGTAGCATGATACAATTTTAATTTTTAAAAAATTTCGTACATATGTATCCAGGTAGTGCATTAACTAATACGTAGATAGAGGTTCTTTCCAGATGGGGAACTATGAATGACCTTTAGTATCTGGGTAACTTTCTGAATTTTCTAAATTTTGTACATTGTACAATACTACTTTTACAACTAGAAAAATTGATGAACCTGTTTTCATTTTGGAACAAAACAAATGAGTTCATACAATTAGCCGAGCAGGCTCCCTGTCTAGAATAGTGATCCTTGGGCTCGTCTGCATCCCAGCATCATCTTGAGAGCTCTGGGAAATGCCTAATCCAGAGTTCTACCCCAAGGATTCTGATATGGTTGGATGAGTCTTCAGGATTTTTCAAAGAGATTCTCATGTGTAGTCAGGATTTGTGCTGAGGATGAGGTAGTTGCTTGGAATTAATTGGTGGATACACGAGATACAGAATATGTCAATTCAGTATTCTCAGTTTGGGCACTACTTAGGACTTTAAGCCAAAGAATACCTTTGAGAAGATATATTGCATGGGATAATGTTCATTTGAATTACTTACCTGGGTAAGTACACCCTTGGCATTCTCCTGGCACCTTGCAAAAGTCGCTTAGGGGCTTTCTTTGTTTTAGGACAGAAGATGGTAACTATTTTTTGGGACCCCAAAGTCCTTTGAGAATCTGATGGCAATTGCTATGGCTTATTGAGCACTTTCTAAGGGGCAGGGACTTTAAAGTGGTTCATTTATATCAGGTAATTTAGTCCTTCAAATAACCTTTAAAAAGAGGCACTATTTACATCTCTGTTTCTCATAGGAGGCAACCGAGAACCAGGGCCTTTAAGCAACCAATGCAAAGTGTTATTGATCAGTGTGACACAGCAGGGATATTAACCAGGAGTCTAGCTCAGGAACTGGCACTCTAAACCACTAGCTTGGAAGAGTCTACTCAAAAAGCACACGTTTGCGCCAATGCACACATCTGCATATGGTTTCATAGATGCATGGAGGCCCACATCTGTGCATGGACCCAGGAAAGAGCCATTCTCTATGGGATATCCATGCAGGGTGCAGACACTGTTCCCCAGTGCCCAGCATTGCATGCTAACCCCCTCCCTCTGCAAGTGTACCCTGCCCAGTCTTGCACCTTAGTCTGAGTTCATGGGACACTGTTCAGGTCTAACACTGGAATTCCATCCTAAGTTCCCTCAGGTGAGTTGAGCAGGTGGGAGAAGAGTTACAAGTGGCTGCTGGCTGGGAAGCTGGCTTTGGTCCCAGTCTCTGGGCCAAGTTTCTTTCTCTGTGAAATAGGGTACATGTTTTCAAAGAGAGACCCTGAGGTCCCTTCTGGCTCCATGGTTCTGGGTGCCTCCTGAAATCAATCCTGAGAGCTTGTCTGTGTGGTTTAGAGTTCACCCTGGGAGGACAGTGTTTTGGAGGACAGTGTTTTGCAGGACAGGTCACACAGCTTGCCCTGGGGATGTTCAAGGGTATGGGGTTGGGCTGAGACTTCAAGGGCAGGTTGCCTCTTGGTGGGAAGCTTAGCCCTCACTGAGCCCATGAAGAGGAGGGGTCTTCAAGGCCACTTGCTACAGTGGCCATCATGCTCTGTGCCATTGCCTGGTGGCGCTCAGAGCTGTGGTTGCCCAGGGGGGCACCGTTAGAAAAGGATTGTGCCCTACCTCTGCTGGACTGTGTCCTCCAGGACAACGGACCCCAGGCCCACCCATGTTGCCTGTTGTCTTCTGTTTTCCTGTGTAGATCCTGGAGAACACGCCTGAAAACCACCCTGACCACAGCCACTTGAAACATGCCCTGGAGAAGGCCGAAGAGCTGTGTTCCCAGGTGAACGAGGGGGTGCGCGAGAAGGAGAACTCGGACCGGCTGGAGTGGATCCAAGCCCATGTGCAGTGTGAAGGCCTGTCGGAGGTAAGTGCCCATGGGGCGGGACCTGGGCCTCTCCTCACTCAGCTTCTGTAGCTACCAAGAAGGAGGACAAGAAAAATCATACACCATCCTCCCCTCCAGCCTACAGTTTCCTAATTCTCTCTCAATGGCTTCTTATCTGCTGTTTAATCTATCAAGATTTTTATTATAATCGTATTATTTCCTGTGGCCAACAGTTCTGTTTATTTTCTTCAATCTGGTTTCTTTCTTGTGTCTTGTTCCTTGCTCAAGTGTTCATGCTTCTCACTTTTTTTCTTAGCACATTGTAAACTTATTCCTGTATATTCCAAATCCAATACCTAAATACCTAAAGTTCTGGGTCCAGTACCTAAAGTTATGGGTCCTGTTCTTTTGTCTGTTGTTTCTGTTCGCTCTTGCTAATCATACCTCGTTTTTTGGTATATATTGTGAGTACCTTTTCTTGCTGTACTGGGGATGCCGTGCTATGCTGGGAATGCTGGGCAAGTGCTCTGTCACTAAATGACACCGCCAGCCCCTGTAGTGTGTGATTCTTAACTGTGAATTCAACATTCCTGGGAACTTCACCTGAGGGCGTCTCTGCTGTCTGAAGTAGCATTCGTCATGAGAGGATTGCTCCAGGATCACTCTAAATTATATTTAGAGTGTGTTTTGGGATCACGTTAGTTGTGTGGATTGTGTGGTTGCCTGTGTGAGAGCTTCCTGGTGGTCACAAATTCCCAGAGGCACGTTTTCCTCCAATTTCACCAAAGTCAAAAGCAAAAAAGGTCTCTTGCTCATGCTTTCTGCACTTGAGTTTGCTTGTTATGGAGACTTTTTTGTGGAGATTTCCTGTTACATCCCTGACCTGGGTCCTGGAACATCTCTTCCTGTCTGTGTGCCCTACATAGCCATTAAAATGGAGATGCAGCCTCACCAGATTCAGCTGAGACTCTAAGGACTAAACCTGACTTTGGGGCTTGATTATCTTTCAAGGATATCATTTTATTTTGGTTTTTGGCCTCTGCATATTTTTAACTTTATTATTATTTATTTTTGCTGAATGCATTTAAAAAATAGGGTTTTTGTTGATTTTTAAAAAGCTTTTGTTGGTGAGTCATCCAGAGTATCTAGTCCGCCATACTTCCAGAAATGGAAAGACGGAAGTGTCTTCTTTGACCTTTAATTCTTTTTTTTTTTTTTTGTCACTCAACTTTTTCTTTATTCTCATTCATCCTTTCTACCTGTTTTTTCTGTCTCTGTGTAAGTGTGCACGCACACACACATACATGCACACACATACGCCATGCACTAGGGTTTCCCAGTGTGCCCAGGGAGAAAGCGTCCCCATCATCCACCCTCCCCATGGTTCTTCTCTCCTCTAAGCTTCAAAGACAGCACCTGGGTAAGTCACCACTGTGTGCCTTCCCGGCCCCACATCTGCCCATCTTCAGTGCAGGTGAGGGTTAGCAAAGCTGTGGAAGCCACACTGTGGAAACCAAGGTGAAGGCCATCGGTCCTCGTTTTGGAATCTAGGGATGGTCTTTGGTTGATTGGCTCTCTCTCTCATTCACTCATTCATCTATTAAACATTTATTGAGTATCTGCCGAGAGGCCATCGCTTGATTCTAAACCCCAAGGACATAAAAAAATAAGATGTGACCCATTCACTCAAAGAGCCTATGGGCCTCCAGAGAGCTGGGGTTAAACTAATATTTACAACAAAATGGGAGAATGATGAGCAGAGCTGGCTGGCAAGCATGTGATGAGGAGGGACAGCTGTGCAGGTGTTCAGGGAGGCGCTGGACTAGGTGACCCGTGCCTGGACGTAGGAAGATGAAGCTCTCTCTCTAGTGAGGAATGAGGGGGTGTCTTGAGTGGCAGGGGAAGGGAGAGCAGTGGAGAGCAACGATGGGCCCCACTGATTTAGGGAAGCTGCGGGCTGGCCAACAGGACTATGTAGCATTCAAGGATCGTTGCTTTGATGCTGGACATAGAGGCCCTGACCGCTTCTGATGAGACGCTGAGATAGCAGAGTGCACTTTAGGAAGGGGCCCTCCCTGAGTCTCCATCAGAGGGTGCAGGGGCCTGTGTCTTCACCTGAGGATGTTGAGAATAAAATAAATTCTTGACATCTGATTTTTGAGGCTTATATCCCCCCTTTAAAACCAGCTTATAGTCATTCATCAACTGGACTTTCCTTGTTTTCATACCCAGCTTATGGTTGTCTTTATGGCATTCACAGTAACAGGAAGGGACCAGGGTGGCTTCTGCTTTCTGTTTCATAACCACAGAGTGGCCCACATGTGGCCCAGAGCTGGATACACGCCAGTGATTAGTTTTCAGATGAATGCTGTTTCTGGCATTCTTGTCCAGAGTCAGAGGAATGTGAAGACTCTTCCCAGTTCACACAGAGCCAGTGTTAACCTGGCCACCTGAGAGCCATAAACTAGGAGTGTGAATGCAGGACATTCTCTAAATGACATTGGATCCAGGGACATTTGCCCTGGATTCAATGTCATTTAGACTCACTGTCACCAAGTGTCTTGAACTTGGCAAGCAAGAAGGGCCAGATTGGTCTCTTGGCTCCTGTTAAGAGTGCATGGGGTGAAGATTATTCTCTGAAGGCTCCTGTTGGGGTGTCCCCTTCAATCTTTCTCTCAGAGCTTTGGGGAGAGGTTAAAGGACATCCTTCCTCCACAGACCTGGGAGTGGAACAGAGCGACTGCTCTTCTTGTTAACCTCTTTGGTCACAGAGGCACCACCAAATCTCTCTCCCACATTGGAGGTAAACAGGTGGCCACCAGCATCTCTGGGAGATGCTTTTTGGGAGCTCCATTGCCCCTACACAGTCTCCTCAGAGAGGTCTAGAGGGATCACAGCTCTGGAAACCTGACCTTGAAGGCTGCTGTATGGAGCATGGCCAGGGCAGATGTGGGCCAGGGCAGATGTGCAGGCAGGTGGAGACCATGAAGGTCCAGCATCTGCCTGGATCCCCTCACTGCCTGGGACACGCTGTGGAACCTGCTACCTCATCCTCACCACTTGCTGTCCAATGGGACCTTTGTGGAACTGTCTCTACCTCAGCCCCCTTTGTCCCTGTGCCCCTGCTGGCATGAGATCATCAACCCCAGGGAGATGTTAGAGCCACACGTCCACACTCCTAGCTGTCCCTAAGGGTTGGAAAGTGTCGGGGAGAGAGCTGTCCCCTTCACATTTTCAGAACGAGTTAGTTGGTTGGGATTTAATGTGCATGAGACAGTGTCTGTTGAGGTGTCTGTCACTAAGCACCCCTGAGTTTTGCAGTCACCCACATGCTAGGGGCCTGGGAAGCTGCATTTGCCTTGTGGACTTATATAGGAGAGTCCCTGCTGCTTTCCAGAAAAAGGGGCTTCTGTTGAAGCTGGCTTCTGCCACTCTAGTGCAGCACCTGACCCTGATGGTCAAGAGGGTGGGAGCCAATGGGGTGGATTCTCCAATAATCAAAAGGGAGAAACACACGCTTGGGAAGAGCCACAGGTTTACACCAGGACTCCTCTGGACACTTGGACTCCCCAGAACCATATCTTTGACTTTGACTTCTTGGCTCTGAAAGGTCTTCATAGCCATCCTGATTTGTGCCCACCTGCAGCCTGTTGGGGCCTGCCATGGATTTTGATGGATCCCATTCTTCCGGGTGGAGAGAAACAAAAATAAAAGCATGACCTCCCTTTATTGTGTCTTCTTTGGATTTTGTTTTCCTTTCTCAGCAACTGGTGTTCAATTCAGTGACCAATTGCTTGGGGCCACGCAAGTTCCTGCACAGTGGGAAGCTGTACAAGGCCAAGAGCAACAAGGAACTGTACGGCTTCCTTTTCAATGACTTCCTCCTGCTGACCCAAATCACCAAGCCCTTGGGGTCTTCCGGCTCGGACAAAGTCTTCAGCCCCAAGTCTAACCTGCAGTATAAAATGTACAAAACAGTAAGTTCTGTTTAGGGTGCACTAGCAGGGCTGGTGTGCTGGGGGAGGAAGGGGTTTCCAGAGGAGCCAGTTTGGGCAGGATTGGGGTTGTGGTGTGGAGGAGAAGGCAAAGGGATGAGCCAGGATTCAGGGTCATGCATTGCCAGTAACACACAATCCCATTGGCCACACATGGATCAGCTGCTCTGGGTCCCCAGGACACGACAGAGACATGCCTTGCCCCAGGGAGCCCAGGCCCCAGAGCGCAGTTGTGGCAGGCATGAAAAGGTTGGAGTAGAGGTACAGAACATCATCAGTCCCAGAGCCACTGCCACCTTCACGCCACCCTGAGTCCCCCGCCAAATCTCCCAAATCCCGAGGGAGCTTGAAACATCCGTGACCCTCCCACTTTATCAGCGAAAGCCCCCTGGGGCAGCCAACCTGTGGAGAGTTCCTCACGCTGTGTTACCTGGTGTGCTCGCACGTGCATGGCTATGTTTGTGTGTCTCTGTGCCATGGAATATCATTTTTTCTAAATTGTGTGAGGGTGTTTTTACTGAAGAATTTTCTCAGAAGCAGCAGTTAGCTTTGTTGGGGGGCGGGGTGGGGGAGAGTGAAGTATTTTTGTAGACCTTTCCTTAGAAACCGCATGAAACTCTTCAGGGGGACTCACTTAGACATGGAGTTGGCGGGGACTGTGCTGTTCAGGATGCACTGTGGGAGAACAGACATTTAGATCTTACCTTGAAGGAATCAGATATACCTGCAGGATGAAAGGGACCCATAACCATAACTTGCAATATATCAAAATCAATATTAACACAGAATCCTTGTTCCAGAATAACTTACTGGAAACACACAAATCCTTAGTCTGGTTTACAGGACCACACCCTCACACACACACATAGACCCTTTGTCTAGGCTCCTGGACACAGATGCACTCATGGTCAGTCTAGTTTACTGAAATACATACCCGCAGTCTTGCCTCCTGGAATGTTCTTGCACAAGCACACGCTCAGGAATTTTCTAGAGCACACAGACCCCAGGCTGTCTTGTAAGACCTGTGCATTCTTACTTTACAGCCTATTTTCCTAAACGAGGTTCTAGTAAAATTACCCACTGACCCTTCTGGAGATGAACCCATCTTCCACATTTCCCACATCGACCGAGTCTACACCCTCCGAGCAGAAAGCATAAATGAACGGTAAGACCTGACACTCCCTATCACTGGGTGCAGGACACCTGTCAGCAGTTCCCAACACCCCCAGCTGCAACGCTATAGATTCCGGTGAGAGTTGGGGAGAGTGTAATATTTTTTTTTTTTCTAGAGCTTCTCAAATTTGGTCACATGGCATGGATTTTTTTTCAAAATAAAATGGATCGAAACTAATTATGCTTGAGAATATTTTTTAAAGAAATTTCAGCAGTCTTTTAGCAAAATGGAGCATCTTGGGTTTGCCCAGGTTTCCCAGGTGGCAGAGACCAACAGGAAGGTGATTTGGGGATTAGCAGGAGCGCCCACACCTGAATCCTCCTCCCCTGGCACACGGGGCTCATTTTGGATCCTTGGGCTGTGGGTTTTTGCTTCCAGTCCTATCTGAAGGCTCTGGTCCTGGAGCCAAGTGAAATAGATCATTTTCTGAAGGGTGAGCTTGACACCAGGCCAACAACTTCCAAAGAGCATGTGTGCCAAGCTGGAGAATTGGCTGAAGTTACTGTGCATATGGCTCAGAAAAACACGAAGGAGAAAGGCCAGGCCAAAGTGCTTCCTGCTGCGTGTCTTGCTCTTTCATGGGAAGTGGTTCCCAGTCTGGGAAATGGTTTTTGCTTTTCCCTTGGGTGTGTTTGTAGGAGAGACACTTCTGCCTTACTGGGTGGGGCAAATATGTGATGTTTTTCAACAAGGAAAAAAAGAGGAGCCGGTACCTCCTCCAGGGTGTCTGTCATTTAACATAGACTTCCTTCCTGGGGACACGGATGCAGGTCTTTTACCCATGAGAACACCACTTTCTTACTAATGGTAGGGATAATAGCATCCTGTGACATTTCTTTTCCGAGCCTTTGTCATTAAAATCAAATGAACCAACGAGAGTCCTGGAAACAGAATTTGAACAGACCCGACGCCTTTTTTTCCCTGAGTTCTGTTTGGCAACATTCTGTCTTTTCCCGTCCAAGGACTGCCTGGGTGCAGAAAATCAAAGCTGCTTCTGAGCTCTACATAGAGACTGAGAAAAAGAAGCGAGAGAAGGCGTACCTTGGTAAAGTATCTCCAGGTGGCAGGGCCCGAGGTTCCTGCAGAGCTGGAGTAGGAGAGCCATTTGGTTGGGCCCAGAATCCTTAGCGCTGGAGCTGTGCCTAGAAGTAGAGGGGTGCGTGAGATGGGATGGCAGTGGGCACAGGGTGGGATGCAGACGAGGGGTGGAGGGAGGAGCCAGGAGCCAGGAAGCAAGAGTTTAAGGAGAGGAGGGGGGAAGTGCTTTGGATTGGGTGCAGGAAGGTCAACGGGGATAGACAGGCAGCCCGTGCTGAAATGAAGTGTGTGTTTCCCCTGCTGTCACAGTCCGTTCCCAAAGGGCAACAGGCATTGGAAGGTTGATGGTGAACGTTGTGGAAGGCATTGAGTTGAAGCCCTGCCGGTCACACGGTAAGGACCAAGGAAGCGTCCCCTGGCGTGCTGGGGGTTTCTCTGCATTTCCCACGCCCCCTAACCGACCTTAAATCAAACGTGATAGTTCTTAGCTTACATTTTCTTCGGGAACTGGCTTTCATGGCACTTGTTAAAAAGCTGGAGGTTTTATTTGTGGGTGTGAATGCTTTCCATTCCTCTGCTTCTCTGGGGAATCTGGCTGTGTCACAGTAGAGGTGACACATTGTGAGGCTGAGGAGAGCAGGCAGTTCAAAGGCCCACCCATCTAATTAGTTGCTCTCCATTTAAATACGATACCGAGTTTTGGGAGTTTTCACCCAGATTTTGCACTTATTAAGTGTGACCCTGGAGGGGACAAGTGAGGTGTCGTTCCCACCTGGCAGAGGCTTTTGTTTGCTCCAGGAAAGAGCAACCCATACTGCGAGGTGACCATGGGCTCCCAGTGCCACATCACCAAGACAATCCAGGACACGCTGAACCCCAAGTGGAATTCCAACTGCCAGTTCTTCATCAGAGACCTGGAACAGGAGGTCCTGTGCATCACCGTGTTCGAGAGGGACCAGTTCTCACCAGACGGTGAGTGAAAGGCAGTCCTGTGGCACCTCCCTCCCTCCCTGCCCCTCGTCTTGCAGGGGTCCCTGTTTTCTCACCAGAGGACTTGGCCTTGGAACTCTCTGGGCTTCGCTCCTGAGGGATCAGGTTGACATAAGACAAGGTGATGCTGGGGATGTCCGAAGGGACAAGCACAGGACATACTGGTCTAGTTGTTCCCATTGCCTTAAATAAGGACAGTAGGATTTCCAAGGCAGGGACTGCAAAGAGGAGCACACCCAAGAGCCCCAGCGTAGTTCTTTCGCCCTTGACAAAAGGCTGTGGGACAGAACTGGCCAACAGAGTTGAAGGGACGTCGGCCCACAACAGGCACAGCAGAATCGGTCGGCGTCCATCGGGTGACATTTCTGGTTAGGAAAAGGGATACTATTTCCTCTGCTGGCTCTCCATCTCTGCTTTGGGCCTGGAGAAGAACGATCCCTGGCCAATGAATCCAAGATATTAGCTGCTTTTCTTTCACCCCAGCAAGAGTCAGAGAGTAAGTTAAAAGATGATGGTTGTAATTATAATCAGAGGATCATAATGAAGTGCCAGGAGTGAGCGCCTGTTGCTGGCAGTATCTGTGCAGAGGTTCAATGGCTCCACGTGGCCTTTGCCTCTTAGTTCTTCTGATATGAACTATGCCATGTGACTTAAAAGCCCTGGGCTTGCCCAAAGACAGTCCCATAGCTGGTTGACTGTCAGTGCGGGGCCAACAATGCTTTCTAAATATGTACAATTATGGTAAGTCAATCTTGAAAAAATATTAAGCAGAATAATTCATAAAAAACAACCCCACCCCACCCACTGCCCCCAAATACAATCTAATCCCAAACCTTCAGGCTTGAACGGCATTTCAATGTGTGTGGACGATGTGTAATGATGCGATCAGGCATCGCCTCAGACACTTTGTGTTGGGAACATTAAGAATCTTCTCTTTCTCTGTGTTTTAAATAATGAAACATCATGACACCTGAGAGCAGACACCGAGGAGAAACTGGAAACCACGGTACTGTTCTCACACCAAAGGCCAGAGAGAAGGGAGAGTAAGCAGCTCCTTGGGAGATTCCCAGGGTGATTCTCCGGTGCATGCCTGGAAGACAGGGATTCCTCCTGAGCAGGGTCTGTTTGTTCTCTTTTCAGATTTTTTGGGTCGGACCGAGATCCGTGTAGCTGACATCAAGAAAGACCAGGGTTCCAAGGGGCCAGTGACCAAGTGTCTGCTGCTGCACGAGGTCCCCACGGGAGAGATCGTGGTCCGCCTGGACCTGCAGTTGTTTGATGAGCCGTAAGGAGCGGCCTGGGCCACGCTCAGAGGCTGCACCTGCTGTCTGCAAATTGTGTTCTTTTTCTAAAACATTATTATTTGGTGTTTAGCCACAGGACAATGGGACAGCAAAGATGGGCCCCTCCAATCTAGGAATAATTCTCGACAATCCTGCTCCTTGAACAGTTTCCCGTTTTATGAAAAAAAGCTGTTTTCTTTCCTCCTCACTTCGGGCCTCACTGTGGCTTCTAGGGTCTCTGAATCTTCTAACCCTCAAGTAGGTTGGATTGGAACCTGGCCCATCCTTGGACTCGTGGCATGGGCCTGGTTACTGTAGAGTAGCTTCCTAAACGCAGTGTCTGTTTTCTTGGAGAACTTGTGTGACCTCCTATTCTCATGTCCATCAGCCCCTTTGTAGACTCCTTGGCCTATACCACTCAGGCCTTGGTGTGTTTAGAAACAATTATGAGCTGGGCCTGGTGGTGCGTGCCTGTAATGCCAGCAGCTTGGGAGGCTGAGGCAGGAGGATCACGAGTTCAAAGCCAGCCTTGGCAATTTAATGAGGCTCTAGGCAGCAAGACCCTGTCTCTAAATAAAATATAAATAAAAGGCTGGGGATATGGCTTAGTGGTTGAGTGCCCCTGGGTTCAATTACAAAAAAAGAAAGAAAGAAAGAAACAATGAGGATGGATTTGTTTGGCTTCAGAATTTCATTCCCCTGCAGGGAAATGCTCTCTGGGATCTGATTGCTCTGTGTGATAGTCTCCTAATTGAACTCTAACTAAGCTCTTTGAAGAGCTAGTCCCTGGAAGATTCCAGCATGTCTGCTGTTCCAGCTGTTCCATTCCCCTCTAGGCCCCGGAATTGATATGTCAGTGAAAGCACACAATGTACCTTCCGGTGATTCAGTTCTGATTCCTGGCGAGCGTGGAAGGTGGGCACGGAAGCTCATCATCTGCAAAGTCGTGCTTTGCTGGGTTAGATCACTGCCCGTTGCTGGGAAGGCAACTTTGTGACGTCATTGAATCCCGGTTGCCAGCCCTGGTTGGAAAGTTTTATTTTGGCTTGGAGGCCTGTGATGTTCCATGACAAGAGTCATTGCTGGTGACCAGGTCTGAGCCTATTCTCTGATCAAAGGTACCAGAGGGAAATTTCAGAAGCAGTTTTTGGTAGGTTCCTAAAAAAGGTAGGTCCTGCACCCCTAAGATTTAAAAACGAAAGATGACAAACTGGAGGTGGAGTGGGAAGGTGTGAAGGATGCCCATCATGTGGTGAGGAGTGTGCCCACAGCTCTGGGGAGGAAGAGCCACACTCCTCCTGGGCTGCGTCAGACACAGGCCAGCCTCTCTGGGGTGGAATACGGGCGCTTGCTGCCAGAGTCAGGGGTAGGACTGTGTACCAAGCTACTTAGTGTTCTCCCTTGAATTCCAGGAGGGCAGCTGGTTAATTAGAATACCTTGATTTGCTAATGAGAAGTGTGGGCCATGTTTTGTTTGCATGTTGATGTTCTCATAATTGCAGCTCGTTGTGGTCATGAGGTGTCCTCTGCATGTCCTCTTGGTACTAGAGTCTAGCTTTCCTATGTTGGATGGTATTCTGAAATTTGACTGTAGGTCCTTAGAATTTGATTAGGGTTGTAGCAGTGTTTTCACAATGATCGTGGCAGAGTACCCCCTTCTTTGGGAATTGAATGTGTAGAGTTATTGCTTCTGGTAATGGCCCTGTCCTAGTTCAAGCAGTTTTTAAAACGTGTGTGTTGGAAAGAATAACAAAGTTTACATTTCATACTTTTAAGAAACACTTTATTATTTATTTATGAAGATAGTGTAGAATTTTGTATCAGACATAAGTATTTTTTGAAACAAGCAGATAAACCCTTTAGTTAGAAACTTTCAACTGAACATGTTGTAGAGCAAGTTCAACTTCAGGCATGCATTTCTTTACCACTTCCCGGCAGAAAACATGGTTAAAATACTTTGTGTTTTTTGATGTTGTTAAGAAACTCCCTTAAATCTATAAATAGACATGTAATTCGTGTGTTCCTATTTCTATACCCAACAGAGTTTGTTCATTGTGTTTATGAAGGACATGTTACCATAGTAGGAAAAAAAATGTATTAAATGTTAAGTGGGATAGTGTTGGATCACCATTCCAATCCCTTTCTTTCTGTTCTCCCTTTTCTTCCTTCATTGACTTTATTTTTGTATTAACGTTGGACATCTCTGCTCCTGTAGGGAGTGTGTGGTATGCACAATGATAAATCTCTTTAAATCTTTTAGATTCCAGGTCTCCTACTGGTAGAATCCCATTATTGGAATTATGTAGCATGAAAAAGCAATATGTGGTCTTTTTTCCCACGTGACTCTATGGAGCATCCTTGAGATGCTTCTCGGCCTAGCAAGTTCTGGATGAGTGTCCTTGTATTTTCTGGTGTGATTTGTAATGTGACCCATGGTATTATGAATGCATTGGGCTGTCCCTCCAACCCGGCTGTGACTGAGACTAGTGTTGGGGAGGCAGGGATATGGTGATGCACGGAGCCTTGAGCCCTTGGCCCTCTATTCCTTCACTTCTCTCTCTCTGCTGTCTGGGCTACATTTCACAGACATGAAATGCCCTGGACAGGAAGGAGTCTGTCGCCTGGCTCTTCGCTTTCTAACTACAGAGTTTCTCTAGGCGTGCTTCCTGACATCCCGATACAGCCTTTTAGTCACCGCTGCAAGTGTTCCTCTTCTCTGAGCCACACTGCTAGTTCCTCCTGTGCTCTCTGACATCCTCTCACCCAGAAAGGAGCTTTCCTGGTTACATGCTGTGCTCTGACCCTCAGTCAGCCCTGAGGATTATCCCGAGCACAGGAGATCTTGGACCTTCTTCCTAGACCTGCTGTCTCACAGGGTCATTCCACATCCTGGTCCTTCTGGGTCAGGGCTGCCCTGGCTGATATTTTCTCTCCTGGCCTGTAAACAGGATCATCTCCTAGAATCAGGACCATGAGAGCCTAAAGACATATTGTGGTTCATTCAGGTCCAGGTCTGACCTAATGGGGAAGAGAGAACATTCTAGGCTTGGGTTACCAGGAATGTCCCAGAATTGGGGCCAGTCTTCCCTGTTTCACTGCTTGGATAACATGTCTCTGTCCTCTGATAGCAGAAAGCTCTGCTCCCAAAGAACATTAGTGGAATAGGGGGCATTCTTTTTCTTTTCTTTTGATCTAGATCTATGCAAGTACTCCATTTCATCTGGTTGGGTTGACTTGAACTTAAGTGGAAAAAAAAAATTCCCATCAAAAAGTGGTAAATTGACCGCTTTACTATGCCTTACCTTGGTGACCTGATGCCAACACCCCAGGTGTCCTTGGGGGTGTGCCCTAGGATCAGGGGGACTG